CTGGATTGATGTTACATTGGTATCACCGATGCTGGCAAACCGCATTATCGATTGGGTCCTCCGATCTGAGACGAGTTCCGACCACCAAGCGATAGCCTTTAGGCTGACGGAAAATACAGAAGTTTCCCTCGGGATAGAAAAAGGTTACCTTACTCGAAAAGGAAATTGGAGTGCCTTCCGGTCATTGCTGGAGGGAAAAATGGTCGACGAAGACTGGGATGAGGCGGAAACGGAGCAAACAGATGATCTGGATTACCGAGTGTCCAGGATCACTGATATCATCCGCGATACCGCTGAAGAATCCCTTCAGCACCGGAAGGCGAGAGCTCGACTTGTCCCGTGGTGGACGCCTGCCTTAACCACAATGAAGAGAGAACTCTACAAGGCACGGCGTTCATACCAGAAGTGTACTTGCGAAGAGAGGCGCATTACACTGTTGAGTACAAGTCTAAAGCCAGGGCATACCGAAACGAGGTGCGGTTAAGAAAGCGAAAGTCTTGGGACAAATTCATTGTTGAGTAGTCATCTAAGAATCCCTGGGGGGTACCTTACAGAGTTGCCCTTGGTAAGTTTGCTCCACAGCAAGTGATTGCAGCTTTGAAGCGCGGATGTTCCCAGGCAACCACTCTGGAAGAGACTGCAACGATGTTCCTAGCTGAGACCTACCCCAGAGATGATTCGTCCTAGGATAATGAAGAGGAAATATCTATAAGACGCACTACGGTATGCCCACCTGATACGGACTTGTGCCCACCGTGGGACATATGGGATCTACGTGCTGCTGTGGATGCAGCAATCCTCAGGAACAGTATCCCCTATATTGAACAGAGACTGTTGACATTGTTCAATGATTGTCTGGACAGGGGATACTTTCCTAAGAGTTGGAAAATTGCTGATGTTAGACTCCTCTACAAGGGAGGAGGCAAGGATAAGCAATTAGCCAAATTTTATAGGCCTATTTGCCTCCTCCCTATCATGAGTAAATTATTGGAGACCCTGTTGATGATGAGTCTACGACCAGTCTTCTCAAGGGCAGTACGGATCCACTAAAGGCAGGGGAACCGCAGATGCCCTGCTGAGAGTGCGCCGTGACGTTGAAGAGAAGGCGGAGAAGTATGTCATGCTTCTCCTGTTCGACATATCTTCCGCCTTTGATAGCGTCTGGTGGCCAAGCGTATTATAGCAGTTGCAGAAGTATGAGGCTCCCAGCAACTTATATAACTTTTAAGAAGCTACCTTCAGGACCGAACATTGAAGATAAAAGGTCGACGAAGAACAAGAGTCTTTGAAGAACAAGAGTCGACGGAAAGAGGTTGTCCACAGGGATCGGATCTTGGTCCAGCCCTGTGGAAATTAGTCTTCGATGAGTTGCTGGGGGTGCTAGAACAGGAGCGGTTCCCCGCCACGGCCTATGTTGATGATCTGGCCGTTGTAGTGACCTCAAATAGCAGAGCCAGGTTAAAAGAAGAAGCTGAACGATGTGCCAACCTCATAGGAGGATGGTGCGAGAGAAAAAAGATGAAGATGGCGGCTGCTAAGACCCAGTCCATTCTTTTAAGAGGTAAGACTGACAAGGCCCACCCTATTACTCTTAGAATAGAAGGAGAAAGGATACGTCCAAGTGAGGCTGTTACTTACCTTGGCATAAGAATTGGGAGAAATTTCAACGTTACGCCTCACTTGGACTACATGAAAAGTAGGGTGGCCCTGGCTCTCAATAGACTTAGTCGCATCGGGGGGTCTCAGGTACCCAGCCACGTTGACTATTTACAAAGGAGTTATTATGGGCATCCTGAGATATGCGTCCCCTGCGTGGAGTCATCATCTCTCGCACCAACAGAAGAAAAGGTTGGCAACAATCCAGCGGATGGCTCTGCTGCGGGTCAAAAAAAAGAGCAGGCTGTGTGCACAGCTGTAAAATAAAATAAATGTAATTGGTCTGAATGCAGCAGTGAATTGTAACGCATGCGTTGCTACTCACTACTGCGTAACACCCGTATTGCCTTATCGGCAGGGTAGGGTGTAAATAAAATCAATAATAGAGCCATTCTGTTTCTGGGAATTGTTTTATGATATTCTATACTATTATTGTTTATTTCTTTTATGATATGCTGCATTGTTTTATTTTCTTATTAATTTATTATTTGATCACTGAATAATAAACTGTGCGAATTTTTGCACGAGCCAACTGGTTTATATTAAATTCTGGTATTATTAATAATTTATATAATCTAAAGATTGTAGCTTTAGTTATACTCTCGAATTTATGACCTTTTAACTCTAAACTAGTTACCAAATCGTCGAGCTTTTATTTCTTACTACAAACCAGGAACCAGACCTGTTATTTTGATTTTTACAGGTTATTTGGCTCTAAAGCTGTTATTTTTCGTTAATTATAATTTAATCTATTTTTTCAATCTGCTATTATTATATTTTAAGTAATAATTATTACTTCTTTTAATTATCAGTAGGTTGTTTATTGACTGGTGGACTGAAGACCTTCAACGAATAGTTGCTCGGAAGAAGTTTACCTGGTGGAAAGCATGTCTTCAAGATAGAAATGAGGAAAACATACAAACCTATCGAACAGTCAGAATGGATGCAAGGAAGCCGTTAGCCAGGCCAAGAAACGCTGGTGGGAGGTTTTCGGTAGAAAACTGATTGAAGACCATCGTGAATCCATAAGAACTTTTTTGGAGAAAAATTAATTTTTTAAGAGGAAAGAAAAACAATCCCGTCAGAAATGTAAAAGATAGCTACGGATATCTGCTTACCAACAAGAAAAAGATCCTAAACAGATGGAAACAACATTTTCAGGAACAATTCTCCGAAAATCCAGAAATGCGTCTCTGTCAAGAACGATAGCCCTCTACTCTCGAAAGCCTAGAGGTAATAGAAGAAGAAGATATAGAAGACGCAATCCAGACTCTAAAAGCAGGAAAGGCACTGGGAAGGGGTGGTATCGTCTCAGAATTTCTAAAATATTGTGGATATATACTCCTTTAAGACCATTAAAAGCTCTTCTAGGGAGTATATGATAGAAAGAAAATTCCCAAAGACTGAGTATATAGCATAATCCCTCCAATTCATAAAAAAGGCGATTCAACGGGCTGCAATAACTATAGACCCATCAGTCTGCTCTCTGTGGTCTGTAAGCTGTACACATCTATCTTAGAACTGAGGCTCCGGCGGATTGTGGAGGGACAGCTGGAAGGTGGACAGCTGGTTTCCGTCCTGGCCGGCAGACTCAGGACCATATCTTTGTTCTTAGGACCATCGCTGAAAAGGTCTGGGACAGAAACAAAACCTGTACCTGGCATTTCTTGATCTAAGGCCTCCATTTGACTGAGTTCCTAGGAAAGAAATTTGGAACGCGAATTCGGAGAAGTTCTTGAGGTAGTGAAGGATTACACCTACTTAGTTACCGTAATTACTAACTCGAGTAAGATAGATGCTGAGATTTCGTATAGGTTATCCAAGGAAAATAAAGAATACTATCAGTATCCTCAGCTGCCGTGAAGTTGATAAAAAGACCAAGATGCACGTCTATAAGTCAGTTTACCTGCATATTCTAGCCTACGGCGGAGAAAGCTATGTTGGTCAAACATTAAAGTCGCATAACAGCAGAGGAAATGCGGTTCCTACGTAGATCGGTGGGAAAAGCAAGGAAGAATCGCATTAGAAACGAAACTATAAGAGAACAGCTGGAAGTGCCTGAACTCTAAACCACTTTGGAAAACAGGCAACTAAATTGGTTTGGACAAGTCTGCCACATAAACGAGGACATGGACCCTATAAAGGTATTAGAGGCTCGACCCACAGGGAAGAGACCACGAGGGCATCCCAAAGTCTCATATCAGTGTTCATGCCGAGGATCGGAGCTAGAAGAGGCAAATCCTCCAACCAAATGAAGTGGTTAAGCAAAGACCCGGAAGAGTGGCTGCGGTGGATAGAGGCTCCTCGACGCTAAATGGCGTTGTGAGAAAGACAAAGAAGAAGAAGATTTATTAGAAATGGATTCCAGATAATTGTGTAAATTCAATACAAATATGGCCAACCCCATGTTCAAAAATCATAAATAATCCCTATATTGCGATTTAAAAAATAGATATTGAATGATTTTATTTATTGGACTCATGAACTCGTACATGATATGTTAGTTTCTATAAAATGATTTTTAAATAAGTGAATTGCGCAATTTATAAGCGTGTGATTATTATAGCTACTATCATAGGCGGTTACTCCTTATGTATGTGACGCAATATGACAATTGTGGTTTGAATAATGTTCTCGACGGTGCTATTAATCATACTTATATCTATTAAGATTATTGTAACTGTGACAACCTTATTACTTAAACGAAATCATATTATTCATTTGGTTGTCATTGTGTGCATACATAGTATTTTTATATTATTTTGATTGATTAATAGAGCATCCGCCTGATGAATATTCAGGTTAGCAAATTGAAAGTAGAGCATTATATAGCTCACAGGTTTCTTTACGCTTCCAACCAATCTAAAAGAAATTAATGGAATCATAAGCGTAAAACGGGAAATATCTCGATAAATCATCTACATCAGCTATATGTGATTGGACCAGAATTATCCAGATAGCCCGCCATCCACCCGACTTCAGTGTAGCCGAGATTGTACGCGGAAAAACTTTCTATTTTTAGCAAGTTTGTGTATGTTAGTAGGTATTAAATTTCACTGCTTATATCAACCAACTTATTCTATATTGCTTCCTCACCAAAAAACGAAAAAATATGGCAAAAAGAATACTTTCTGATGAGGATACTGACGACAAAAAGCATCAATTGATACTATGTATGAACATTTAAAGTCACTCTATCTGCTACTGATTAAAGATAAAATTGTTTCATTGATTGATTTTATATTAAATTTTATTAAGCTCGTTTTCGATACATTGTTGTAAAATTGAAATAAATATGGTTTTTATTGGTTGCTTTTGTCATAAGTTAAGTATGAACAGTAATAATTACCTAGAAAATTAATCACATATGGAATTCCAACCCTGATTTCACATATGAATGTTTTTGATATCATGTTCAGATCGATTTTATTCTCCCTCAATTTAGGAGTATTTTAAACAAGAGGTTATCGTCAGCAGAAGAATTAAAGTATAGTATGGTTTTCAAAGTACACCAAAGTAAGTAAAATTCACGGAAAATTTAATTTATGATATAAATATCTACCATCATTTTGTAACTGAAGAAAACGGTGGAAGATTTGCAATAATCTAATCAATTAAAATAAAAAATATTCGATCTTTGTTCCACTTTGAGAATGACTTCATACGAATAAGCACACGATCAGAAGATAATGAGGAAAACTTACTTTTTTCCCATAAAAAACAGTTGATGTTAATGTAACTACGCACCAATTATGCCACTTTTGTTATTGGAACTTTTGCCTGATCATTCATTGTTTTACTTCCACTTACCTCTACATGTAATACATAGTAAGGAAAAAGTATTGCGATCGTTAAATTTTTCGAATCTGAGCTTTCAACGGAAATAAACATTTTGAGGTCCCCTGAGTCTATATAACTAAATGCCGCAAAATGGTCTGTGTCCGAAATATCGAAATTTTCATTGATATATCGAAACGTTCGATGAGTATCGATATATTTTTCAATTTATCGAATTTTTATTTTGATAGCGTTTAAAAATATCGTTATTTTTTATATAAACGACCTAGCACTAATTGTATGTTGAAACTATTGTTATTTTTTTTTTAATTTATTTTTTCAAAATATTTACAGTTATACAAATAATTACAAGATCACAATATAACCTAATAATAATATATGGTATACTTCTAAATATTTTGTAACTATAACCCGGGACAAGAAATTGGGCTACCATCTAATTCTAAACAAGCTGTGGTCGTTTTTATTAGTTATTAATTGCAATTGAATGGTCCAAATAAAGTGATAGGTGCAAAAAAAAAAAAAAAGATTATATCAAGAGATTACTGAAATAAAATAAATAAAAAATTAATTAGAGGTACAATAATGATAGTAGGGAAATCTTTTTTCATATGCGCTGACATTTAGCAGCTCAATTCAATATATTTTTTAAAGATAATTTAATTAATTAATTTAAATTTATTTATTTGATGTTTTGTTGCCTCTACCCTGTAGGGTCATTGGCAACACCTTTGAATTACACTCTGTTGTAGAGTTTTATCATTTTTAAAAACCTTAAAGTTTTTTTAACTGCACTTTCACTGTCTTGTAGGTTTTCTTTTAGACTCTGTGCCATGTCTAACTTTTTCCTTGAAGGTTCAAATGTTGGGCAGTCTTGAATAATGTGCTTTACTGTCCTTTGGACATTGCAGCTCTCGCAGGTCGGAGGATCAAGTCCTCTTAGTAGGTAGGAGTGCGAGAACTCACAATGTCCAATTCGCAGTCTGCAAAGGGCTGTCTCCTCTTTTCGAGATGATCGGTGAGAGGTTTCCCATTTTAAACAGTGGGGTTTAATTTCGATTCTCCTTGTTCCCACTTGTTTTGCCACATGTTCCACACATTCTCCTTAATTTTTTTAATATAATCCTCTAGAGGGATTTCATTAATTAAACTTAAATTTAATAATGCAACATGTGCAATTATGTACATAGGAAACATGTTGAGAAGGGGAAAACTTTGCAAACTTGAATTTCCACAGTTTCTCAAATCATTAGATACCTTTTATCAAAGATCTCACCTTTGTGTTCTCAGAGTGTTATGTTGTACACAACACATTCCGATACCCAAGGACTATGTTGGGAGACATCAAGTAAGAAATTGTGATGAAATGCTATAATAATACGGCGCTTAAAAAGGTTTTTACTTTGGAGGGGACTAATAATTTAATTAATTCCAATAATATTCCCTCTTGCTTTCATTTTGAGAAGTAATTTAATAGATTATTGTTACAAAACACTCAAACCTTTGTCAGCCATGAGGGTACGAAGTACTAAGTAATTAGTCGATAATTACATCTCACCACAACTGTTTTAGGTGCTAAATGATCTAAAGACTCTTTTTAGCCTCCTCCAACAGCAAGCACAGGTAACTCAAGGCATGTGTCTTCAAAATGAACATTAATCAGTAGACTCCTTATCCATCCTTCTGTGGAATGCAGACGGACTAATGCAACATAGGACAGAATTAGATTTATATTTACAGGAAAAACATTTAGACATTGTAATGACAACAGAAACATACTTTACATACCTATCTAAATTTTATTTTTCTGGTTACATTATACACAGAACTGTCCATCCATACAAGCTCCACAGCTCATACCTAATAATGATATCACTATCGCACAATCCTTTATACTTATCCACTACACCTGGCATCCAAACAACAGACTTAACACTACATACCAAATATTACACAATAACTAAAGCTTCGGTATATTGTGATGCGAGATACGTAATAACTAACACCGATGTTTTGCAATTATTGTTAAAACCCACCATTTTTGCAAGTTTTACCCACCATAGTGGGTGGTGAATTAAACGCACAGCCCCAATATTGGAGGTCACGTCTAAACACATTAAGAGGAAGAAATCTGAGGGCTGCTATCCATGAGCTTTCATTTGGCACTATGTCACCTGAAACACCGACATATTGGCCTGCTTCGGCACGAAAAACGCCAGACGTTCTAGACTTTTTGGCTCTTTTCTACTTTAAACACACCAGTGAAATTGTTTTCACTTCAGTGATTTCAATATTATGACTAACTCAGATAGACGGACATTTAACAGACTGAATAAGAAAATTAAACGACAAATACTTCATACAAATAATTCAATAGAACAAACGAGTATAATCAATAGTGCTTACTTACTACGAACACCCTATCGACTGACAATGGATGTTTATGGAACCATACCAAGAATTAGTTTAAAAATCGAGAGCCCAAGAGAGACATCGTGCAGTGCCATAATTGTCAGACCTATGGCCACACGAAGACATATTGCCACCATCTGCCGCGTTGCGTGAAGTGCGGTGAACAGCACAAATCTGTAGAGTGCACCAAACCTATACAAGATCCAGCAGTATGTGCCTTATGCTTGGAGGGACACCCGGCCAACTACAAAGGCTGCCAAATTTACAAGAATCTCAAAACCAGACACCAGAAAAACCGGATTCAAGATGAAGCACTAAGAACAAGAAGAGAGAGAGAGCCTTCCAGAATTGTAAACAATGATGTATCATTCTCCCAACTACTTAGAGGTAAGACTTTAACCGATAAATGTCAAGCCCTGCCACAACAACCTCAAACCCAACCTCAAAATCCTCTTCATCCTAATATACCTAACCACCAACAACAAATTCCTCATATTCCTCCTCCTTCTAATGCAACAGATCTCACAAGTTTGTTAGCATCTTTCCTCACCGATTTCAAATCCCTTGTTACTCCACTCATATCACTCCTCACGAATCTCGTATCTCACCTCATCCCTCCTCTGAAAAATCCTTAAATGACTCACATCCCTAAACCCATATCCATTCTCCTTTGGAATGCGAATGGTGTTAGAAATCATACAGACGAACTATCTACTTTACTACTTGACAAGAACATTGATGTGGCACTAATTACTGAAACTCGACTAACCACTAAACAGCACTTCAATATACCACAATACCTGACATATCGTACTGACCACCCTGACGGAAAAGCACATGCCGGTACTGCTGTAATTGTACACCAATCCCTCTCCCATCACGTACTCCCATTACCAATACATGATTTCCTACAGTCCACCGCTATCGTGATAAAAACCTTCTCCTTTCCGGTCACTCTTGCATCAGCGTATTGCCCTCCTAACCGATCCATATCCAATGCCCAATTCAGTTCTCTCCTCGACTCCTTAGGACATCACTTCATCTTGGGTGCAGACCTAAATGCCAAGCACCAACAATGGGGTTCCAGAACCACGAATTCTCGTGGCCGAACCCTGCTGTCTGCACTCAATTCCCAACGTTTTCACCTCCTTTCCCCCAACTCTCCTACCTACTGGCCCACAGATCCCAACCGTAATCCTGATCTTCTTGATTTCTTTATCCACAGCGGCTTAAGTCCCCTCAATTGTTCCATTACACGTCTAAATGAACTTTCCTCTGACCATAGTCCTCTAATCCTTAATGTTTCACTTCAACCTGTTCCCAAACCTTCTCCACCGTCATTCATTAGGGGCCCAGTAAACTGGGACCTTTTCCGCCAAATAATCTCCGATAATATTGATCTCAACATATCCCTCAAAACTCCCGATGACCTTGATAGTGCCGTAAATTCCTTTACTACCACAATCCAACAAGCCGCCTGGACTGCCTCCTTCCCTAAAGACTCCTCCAGAATTCCTAAAAAGACCATTCTACCCCAACACCTCCTTGACCTAATCCACACCAAACGCCGTGCCAGATTATTGTGGCAACGTACCCGACATCCTGCCGACCGCTGCTCCTATAATTATTACTGCAAAAAATTAAAACTGGAATTAGCCACCTTCAGATCACATTCCTTCAACTCCTACCTATCCTCCCTCTCTTCTCGCGACAATTCCCTTTGGAAAACCACAACCAAAATCCTAAATCCTCACCGCATTTCCCATCCCCTCCGACGAGATGATGGCTCCTGGGCAGCATCTGACGAAGATAAGGCTGAGGAGTTCGCCATTCACCTATCCAATACATTTATTTCACATCCGGAATCCCATCCTGCCCACACCATAACAGTAGAAGAACTCCTTACATCACCAATCCCACTTTCCTTGCCCCCAAAAGCTATTCATCCTTCCGAAGTGAAATTTCAATTAAAAAAACTAATCCCCCGTAAAGCTCCTGGACATGATCTCCTTACCCCTCAAATCCTTCGACAACTTCCATCCAAAGCAGTCATATTCCTTACATATATCTACAATTGTATCCTACGCACCACCTACTTCCCTCTCCTATGGAAACACTCCACTATTATCCTTTTCCCAAAACCAGGCAAACCTCCCAATATCTCAACATCCTATAGACCAATTAGCCTACTCCCAATCCTTTCAAAAATTTTTGAAAAGATCCTGTTGAAACGAATCCTACCCATTATAGAATCCCAAAATATTCCTTCCCATCAGTTTGGTTTTCGCTCCCAACATTCTACTGTTCAACAAGGACTCCGAGTTGTTGATCATATTTCCTCAGCTCTAGAAAACAAGGAATACTGTTCGGGTGCATTTCTGGACATTGCACAGGCATTTGACCGGGTATGGCACTCCGGACTGCTCTTCAAGCTTAAAATCCATTTACCTCAGTCCTTGTACCTAGTCCTCCGATCCTACCTCTCTGACCGCTCCTTCCGAGTTCGCTGTGGAACAGAATTTTCCAATATCTACTCCGTTAAAGCCGGTGTTCCCCAAGGCAGTGTCTTGGGTCCCGTGCTCTACATCCTCTTTACTGCTGACATCCCTGTTCATCCCGATACTTTTCTTGCAACATTCGCTGACGACACCGCAATCTTATCATCCAACTCTGATCCCAACATAGCATCCTTAAATCTCCAAAACCACCTCACCTTGATTGAGCACTGGTGTAATAACTGGCGCATTAAAGTTAATGAATCTAAATGCCAACATATTACCTTTACACTCCGACGCAGCTCCTGTCCACCAGTACACTTTAATTCCATCCAGCTTCCTTACTCAGACACAGTCCGGTATCTTGGTTTTCATTTAGACCGAAGACTAACGTGGAACCCACATACTAGACTCAAAAGACAAGAACTCAACCGACGATACGGCCAGCTATACAGACTACTAAACAGAAAATCCAAACTTTCTATTGAAAACAAATTACTTATCTACAAGACAATACTGAAACCTATATGGACATACGGACTTGAACTGTGGGGGACAGCAAAAGCTTCTAACATCAAACGTATTCAATCCTTTCAATCTAAAGTCCTTCGAACAATAGTTGATGCTCCGTTCTATGTAAATAACAAAATCCTACACCATGACCTTAATATCCCATTTGTCCTAGACCTTATTCCAGAAAAATTCTCCAAATTTCACCAGAACCTTACCTATCATCCAAATCCCCTTGCACAATCTCTATCCAGCACCACCCATCCTTACAATCCTCTTCGAAGGTTGAAGCGGCAGTGGCCCAGAGACCTTCTGTAAATAAGCATCTATTGGAGTTTTGGCAATGGCCAGATCCTCCACTCAAGCCCGAGTGTGTATGATTAGGTTAGTTCTTTTGTTTATATACATTTATTTTATTTTATTGTATTTATTTTTATTTTATTTTATTGTATTTATTATTATTAAGTTTCTGTATTATTATTATTTTTTTTTTTTTTTTTTTTTTATTTATTGTAAATAGAGTGTGAGTGTGTTCTCTGAACACTATTACAAATGTCCTTGATGTGACAGAATGTAATATTTCTAAATAAACAAATATAAAAAAAAAAATCGAGAGCAGAAAATGAAATCTTATTATTTAATACTCTAGACATACCACTACAGTTGTGGTGTCAACCCCTCTTTCGTTCTCTCCTTCACAAATCGCACAACAAATCAGACTAGCAGTTCGGTATGTAAAGCTTTGTTGTTTACATACCAGAACTTAGAACAACCAACTATCGACCATCACATACATGTTCTTCACTCCCAATTTCATATTAAACTACAAGGACACAAAAATAGACTTATAAATGATATGGCCACAACTGATTTGTCCATCAGAAGGTGACTGAAAATTAGCTGGATCTTCTTTTATGAAATAAGGATGCAAATATGGACTAGGAGGAGGTGCAGCTGGGTACTATTCTTCCTCATGCCTATAACGTCTTTTTTCCAAATTCACTACATTTTGCTGATTGTCAAATCCATGACGGGGGAAGATCAAAATTTGAAGCGACAAAAATAATAAAATTTTAAATTCATATTTTTCATGTTTTCATATTTAAATTCATTTACCATCATATTAGTTTGGTGTTGGTGCCCCAGCCGCGACTAATCATTGTGAATTAACTTTACAGAATGCATTCCACAAAGAGTATTTGTCTGTATGATGGCTTTCCTTGGTTTGACAATTTGTAACATGATGAGATTTTCTTTATCTTTGGTTTTGACATTTATAGCACTACCAAAGAGGTCCAAAATAAAAACTGACACGTGTATACTACCAGAGGATAGTAAGAACGAGGTAAGATTTTTCATAAATCAACATATATTGGTTTTGATAATTCTCTCTCAATGATGTACTTGGAAAAGTAGCAGTTATTAAGGTAGTTTTGGTGGCGTGCAGACGAAGACCCACAGGGAGGTCATATTCGAGTGGGATGAGCGGATCCAGGGACAGCTACTGGGAGCCTTCTTCTACGGTTACGTGGTCACCCAGCTGCCTGCCGGGATCATATCCGATCTCCTCGGCCCCCGCAGGGTCACCTTCTGGTCCTCCTTCCTCACCAGCACCATCACCATCTTCATCGGCCCCATCACCAACTTCCTCGACTGGCCCGGACTCTTCGTCATTCGCCTCCTCACGGGCCTCTTTCAGGTAGTAGCCATGTCGCATATATGTTTACCTTCATTTTTGTTTTAGTTGATTCATTTTGTTTAAATTGACATAAGCAATCATTAATAGATATTTAATAAAATTATATTTACAGGGTGCCTTCTATGCTTCTCTGCATGCAGTCGTTGCAGTATGGGTTCCGAAAAATGAGAGAGGCCGGCTAGGAACTTTTGTTTTTGTTGGTAAGTGAAATGGTTTATGCTGACTGTTTACTTTTCGATCTCTATAAATCATAATGTAAAAAACGATGTCTAAGTGTTTATTAAGTAATAATATATTTGCATTCATCATCATTTTTTTTCAGCTTCTTTTCAGGAAAGTATGTTATATTTATTTTTTATTTCCACATAATTCCATATGGATTCGAGGCAAGTTTCGCTAAAATTGTTACTGCCGTTTCCGCGCCACAGTCAATAGTGACACAGGTTTTTCGGCCGCCATTTTAAAATGAGATGGTGGTAATGTCAAATTGGGAAGCTCTTTCTCTGACTGTAATTTCGAATTTTGTATTTTTGTATTTTGCCAGATTTTTGTATGAGGCCAAATCTTATCATCGGATGGACCTCTACCACTCAGTTCCTTGTAATAATTCCTCTTGATATTAAAGGGGGAATGCCTGAATACATTTTTTTATTTCTAGGCCAGTGGGTACCGTCTTCTGAGGTCACGGATAACTTTTGCCTGCACTTCTTTTTTATTTGGAGATACCAATTCGTTAACAATTTCTAGAGCAGTTTCCTCCTTTAGCCATTCTAATAAACGCGTACCGTAGACGTAAAGTTTTAACACATTAGATTTATTTCGTGATACATTTAATGGCTCATTTACTTCCTCACACGGGCGGATCTACGGGGGGGGAGGCTTTCGGGCTGAAGCCCCCCCAAAATCGAAAAATATAACCATGTTTTATGGGGGAAAAGTTTAAAAAATACCTCTTAAAGTATTATTGTTCGTGTAATTACATTTAAAAGCACTTAAGGAATAACTTAAACACCATTTCATATAGGTAGTTAGTTTCTTTCTTTTTTTCCAAAGTAATTATCGTTATTTTTATGAAAAAAAAAGGTTTCGGGCTGAAGCCCCCCCTCCCAAAAATTAAATCCTGGATCCGATAGTGCTTCCTCACTATTTTTGTCATTCATTTTTACTTTTTTTTTTATTTTCTTCAACTATTTATTACAGCAAAATCTTCCGGCTCGAAAACTTTTTCTGAAGGTTTTATTATTAAATGATTAATCACTGCATTCTTGTTCACAGAAGTGCCCGCTCTTGGAAGTGAGTTGTTGTTTAGTACTTCTACCGTCAGAAGCCCCTCGATAATTTTAGGAAGAGATCGTTCAACTATAATGTCTCTGATTTTGTCAAACACGCTAGAAGATGATAGAACCTCCTCGACAACTCATTCTATTAGTGTTCACTGTGATTTCGATCTATCCATGACGGTTTCCATGATATCGTTAAGATGACTTACTTTTCCGTTTGTGTGGTTTTGCGTTTTCACATGAAATTTGTTTGTCCATATTGGTGAGGTAAACTCTAAGATTTTCTTGAATGGATTTCGCCTCTACTAACAATGGCTCTCAGTAAACCTCAATTTGCTCTGTCATGTCAGATGATCCATTTCTGGCTCTCATGCCCTCAGGCCTTGATCTTTTAGATTTACCTTCAACTTCTATTTCTTCTTCCATTTTTATTGCACCAACATCCGTAGTAAATGGAGTTTGAATACAAATTATGTCCAGTGATAATAGTTCTAACCTATCTAATTTAATATTTTAGGAACAGTTATCTTCTGATTGTCTTTATAATTATTATGGAGTTCCGATGTGAACGCCCTAGTATCCTTGCTAAAGGATACTAATATGTTCCTTTGGTAGTCCTTGATAACTTAATACACCAATAAAATGTATTAAACAAATTTAGATAGGTTACAAGTAAGTTATCTCAACTAAATTTCACAGAGGTTCTTTTATAATGGGCTTTAATTATTCTTATAATGATATGCCATTACATGTCTTTATGTTCAAAAGTCAAAACCTCTTGGAAAACCACGCACTGCATTCTTGTTCACAGAAGTGCCCGCTCTTGGAAGTGAGTTGTTGTTTAGTACTTCTATCGTCAGAAGCCCCTCGATAATTTTAGGAAGAGATCGTTCAACTATAATGTCTCTGATTTTGTCAAACACGCTAGAAGATTATAGAACCTCCTCGACAACTCATTCTATTAGTGTTCACTGTGATTTCGATCTATCCATGACGGTTTCCATGATATCGTTAAGATGACTTACTTTTCCGTTTGTGTGGTTTTGCGTTTTCACATGAAATTTGTTTGTCCATATTGGTGAGGTAAACTCTAAGATTTTCTTCCTTACTAAGGCTTCTTCCTAGCCTCATTGTTCAAACCGATTCACACTTACATCAACAAACCATGTCTTAAAAAGTTAAATAACAATAAACAAACATAAAAAAACAACATAAAAACAAAAAGATAGCACTCAGAAATTACGACTGAACACCATTGGCTACAGGCTCCTAAACACATGAATAATAACATTCAAATATTAATAATTTCTAAAGGGGACCCTACACGGTAATTCATGAATGAACGTCACAAGAAGTTCCAAGATTGCCCACGATCGCTTTGGTCATGAAGACCCTTACACGTTCAATCATTATCATTACTTATCGTTGCTGATTTAGGTTAGATCGTTGCTGACACCAATTTAGCTCAGTTGTAAACAAAGAAACAGCATAGATATGCTTATTTGGACATTGTCATTTATAATATTGGGCATCAAGAGAAAAACGGAGATATAATAATTACTTCCTAGTGCCTGAAAATCGTTTAAACCAAAGTTAGTCCAAAATATAAGTCAACTACATACAAAAATCTATGAAAAGTATTGCGAAAATAATCAATTTGTTAAGAAAAATGGAAAAATTAATGGCAAATAAACACAACAGTTAAAGATTTTTTTCTATAAGTAAATTGTGAAGTTTCCACTTTTTTTTCTCTCCAATTTATTGCCTACTTGACTATTTAAAGAAAAAATAGTTGAAAATGGTTAATAATAATATAGACTAGGGATATAAACAACTATTTACTTTTATGAAATTATTTACTTAATAACGAGACCTAGGTAAACTAACCTATCTAGTAGTTAGGTCTCATAGAAAATCGTTTTGACAAAAGTTAGTAAAATATAAGTCTACTACTTACAAAAATTAAGGAAAGGTATTACGAAAATAATAAATTTGTTGAGGAAAATGGGAAAAGAACTGATAAATATACACAACGTTAAAGTTTTTTTTTTCCTAAAGTAAATTGTGAAGTTTCCTTAATTTTTTTTTTTTTAATTTGTTGCCCACTTGACTATTTAAAAGAAATAGTTGAGGATGGTTTAAAATTATAAACAAGGGATATGAAAAATTATTTAACTATTTACATATAATGAAAATCAGAAATTTATAATGGTTGTGAGGCCTAGGTAACCTAACCTATCCAGCAGTATGGTTAGTCTCCCCACTACTTTTAAGTCAGTCCCCCCTCCACTTCTCGTGAATGAACCTTTGATTTCCGGATGTTCGGAAATCCGCAGCGCACCACCATCAGTACTTCATTCACTACCTTACACGACAATTCGGAACGTCATTAGTGCAATTCCGATTGACCGTGTAGGGTCCCCTTAATGGCTGTGAAATTTTGAAGACACTGACCATATGGAGTGGGAGTTAGGTTATTACAATATTGTTATGTGGTTATAAAATTTTCGATTTTATTTAAAACATTAATTGATACTGTATTGTTTGGTCGATTCCAAACATTACTGGCATGACTCTTACTGCCTTACTTAGATTTCGTGTAATTTTCAGTAAATTGAAAGCAATTTTTACTTTGAATTTGTAAACATTTGTGATTGTGTTTACTTCCATTGAAGTGCAATCAGTTCGCCTTGGTCTCGATTTCCTCCTTAAATAACGAAGTTGTGAACTTCACCCATATTTTTATATTCAAGCTTAATTAGTTTTGTTCTGACTGAAGAAAACTATTGTCAACTCTCGTTAACTCCGAACAAACAAGTTGAATTTTTCCTATGGATTTTCCAGTTTCATGCATCTTATGTACTGAAAACGTACCTATTAAGTATATATCACTACTATTAGTGCAAAAGGTTGTTTGTAAAAAATTTCAACTTTTATTCTATTTGTGCTAAAGGTGACATTTTGTAGTCTGTAACTGATATAAGTAGTCTGCTGCTACTGGAAAATAGCAGAGAACAATAAATATGATGAAATCTTCAAATATATCAATCTTCAAATTAGCTGATAAACGAAATTCGTAGATAACAAACCTGCGAATGTTGAAGGGTAACTGTATTTCCGAATCGGTTTTATTCTTATCGATTGAAAGATATTTTATTCTCAAAGGAAAAAAATATTATATAGCTTGTAATATAGATATATTTTAGACAATGAAAACGGTGGGGAAGCTATACTGACCTTACTTGGCAGACATTTTTATTTTTTATTTATTTAGAACTATAATAATCTGTCACATGGACAATAATTATAGTGAGATATGAACACATTCACACCATATATACAGAAAACATAAAATTAACAAAAGTAAAATAATAACTAAATAATAATCAAAAACTTTTTTTTTTTTCTTCTGTACCACTACAACCCATGAAGGATCTTGGGTTCAGTATTATTTCGGGAAATTATTATTTCAATACCAACGGTTATGCAGAGAGGGGTCGGGTCAGGATCACGCTCAACCGCCAGGTTTTCCCCCTTATTAAATTATTTAATTAAGGGTACCCACTTTGTAGAGACTGGATGTGCCCCAGGAGGGTCTCCCTACCCCAGGCTCGCCCCCGGCCAATGGAACAGAATAAATAAATTTTCTGCCATGAGCCGGGATTCGAACCTGCGAACTCCAGCACTGGAAGCTCAGTGCCCTACCCTCCCTACTGAGCTACCCCGCTCTCTGGTAATCAAAAACTATGTACAATAAAAATAAAATAATCTAAAGATAAGTAAATAAAAAACATAAAAAAACAGTCATACCTATAAATTTAATAAAGATATTTAAATCGGAAAATAAATTACTTTATGAGACTGGTTATCCAAATTCCTTTCTATTTTGTTTTAAAGCCATCTAAATACCAATTACTTAT